ATTGTCAAAACTGAGTTGCTGCCATCCCTGGGTTGCAGCTGGCAGGAAGGGGAAAGAGAAAATGTGGAGGAGGTATATCTGTCTCAGAGGTCTGGCTAGGAAGTGGCCTATTTCATTTCTACTCACTTACCATTGAAGAAAACTTAGTTATATGATCTCACCTAATTTGGGGGTTCAGGGAAATCCAGTCCTTACCTAGGCAGCCAGGTATTGTTCTAGTACCATGGAAGAATAGATTTTAGGGGATATCTAGAGTCTCACAAAGCCAAATTCTCAATTATGAACGTAGAGTAAAAGACATTTTGATATGTACAAGGTCTCAAAAATTTTTTATGTGTATGCTTTCTCAGGAATTCATCAGTTAGATCCAGAAGAGGAAGATAGGGGAGCCAGGAACTAAGGCTGACTCATGAGAGGTGAATGGGAACTCCAGGGTTATGGTGAAGGGAAATCCAGGGGACTTGAAGAACAACCAGTTCAGAATGGAGCAGATTAGAAGGATACTGGAGAGATTTAAGAGGTGAACAATTGTTTTGATTTAAATGAATTGAGAGGATATATAGACGTTTGGAGAAGAGTATAGGGCTGATTAGTGATAAATTGAGAGAATAAGCAAATTTTAAAATGACAGTTATTTAGGGAAAATGAAGTTGTACAGGAAGAGAAGGGTAATTATAATATACCACGTGACTCAGCCGTCAATAACACTTGCATAGGCATAATTAAATACTGAATATGGATCTAACCTCAATTGATACAATTCTTTTGGGAGTATAGGGTTTTGGGAGGAGGGAAAGTATTTCATCTTGGGGCTCTGGGGCATAAAAGGGAACTCAGTCTTCACCTTATATATCAGGGAGCTAGTAGACGATGCTAGTAGACGTTTAAAACTAAAATCAATCAAGAAGTAGCAAAATAAGCATGTTAGGGATATGGAGGCAAATGCCAAAAGAAACATCTAAAAGAGGTGAAAGTAATTGTCTCTGGGGAGAAGGAAATTGGAGCGGGGGAAGGGTTCTGGTTTTTATTATAATAGGTCTTGTAGTACTATCCAACTCCTTAAACTTTGGAAAAATATATATATATAACTTTGAAAACATACATAACTTTGAAAATTAAAAGTAAAGAATGAAAAGCAAGAGAGGAAATAGAGATGTACTTTACTATGAAAGAGACCTAAGAGTGGAGTTTTTTCTTTGTTTTTCTCTCTTCCTCCCTTTCCTCCTTTCAATGGAAGAAACTTGTGTGAGGTTTTTTTGTTTGTTTGTTTTTTGTTTTTTTTTTTTACTATGGAGGAAGAGCCAGGAGAGACAAGAGGTTGAAGAGAGGAATGTGGTTTGATGAATCAAGGTCTTGGAGGAGGTGGGAGGAGAGCGATCTGAGCACAGGTGGAGACATTAGCTTTGAACTGGAGAAGGCAGCTTAACCTTGGCTGTGTAGGAGCATTGGTGTAGATGTCAGTATTTGTCAGTAGGAGGTGGGAAATTGAAATCGTTCATCCCTCATTGCCTAATCTTTGTGAAAAACAGGAGGAGAAGTCACTATGAGCATGAAGAAGGTGGAATATTAGTGAGTAGGATGGGAGCAAGAGAGGGTGGTGACTCAGGACATGGAGAGGGACAAGGGGTGATCAGGTATTCAGGGCCCAATTTAGGTTACAGACCATAAATCTTCAGGGACCCCAAATCCATACCTAGAATGTGTTCAGAAGTATTTGCTGAATGAAGGGGTAAGTGTGGTTGTATGATTTTTCTTTGGCAGTGCACAGCAGCCCCTGTGTTGGAGCAGAGAAGTGGCAGGAGATAGTTGGACAGATCCGAGGTGTGGTTTGAGAACACGATTGTGAAAGGAGGAGAAGTTGAGTGTGCTGATGAGACAGTGGTTGATATGATGAACTTGAACTATAGGCTAGAAAGAAAAGGAAGTATCAAATTGTGGAAAACAGAAGGGCTAAGAGCTTTGTGACAAAAAAACAAGAAGCCATTAAAAAAAGTAATTATATCTGATCACATTAAAATAAAAGATTTATGTATTATTACAAATACTAGAAGCCAAATGTTTTGGAACTAGACAGAGGTGATGGTTGCACAACATTGTGAATATACCAAATGCCATTGAATTACACATTTTGAAATAAGAAAAAACTAGATACAAATTCAAAAGACATTGATCCAGTAATTCTACTGTTAAGAATTTGTCCTACAGATACACTTCACATGTGCACAAAAACATATTTTCAAGGATAATTATCATAATATTGTTTGAATTAGCAAAATAGTGGATATTGTACATATTTATCAGTAGGAAACTGGTAAAAATAAATGACCTCTAGGTAATGGAAAGCTGTTCTTTAAAAGAATACAGCGGATCTGTATGTAGTGCTTAAGGAATGCTCTCCTAGATACACTATTAAGTGAAAAAAGCAAGATGTAGAAGAATTCATAGTATGCAACTGCCTGTATTTACGATAAGATGGTGAGTACACATATTCACACATGTATGGCTGAAAATGAAGAGTGTCTTTGGAAGGGTAATCATGGAACTGGTGATCATGACTGCCTCTGTGAGAGAGAAATGGAGGGCAGGCGATTGGACAGGAGGGAGCTGCCCTTTACTATTGACTGTTTTATACTGTTTGGATTTTTTTTTTTTTTTCGAGACAGGGTCTTGCTCTGTTGCCCAGGCTAGAGTGCAGTGGCATCATCATAGTTCACTGCAGCCTCGAACTCCTGAGCTCGAGTGATCCTCCTGTTTCGGCCTATAGGCACACTCCACCACGCCTGGCTAATTTTTCTGTTTTTTTGTAGAGACAGGGTCTGCTCAGGCTGGTCTCAAGCAATCCTCCCCCTTTGGCCTCCCAAAGTGCTAGGATTACAGGTGTGAGCCACCATGCCCAGCCTGTTTAGATTTTTTTTAAAACCATGTACATGTATCATCTTCTAAAAACCATTAAAAACATAAAAAGCTAAAAAAAAAAAAAGCATTGTTTCTCAAAGTGAGTGCTAATTAAAAAATCTAGGTTCATGTATTCTTCTTGGGATCTCCTGACTTAGTATCTGGGAAGGTAGAGCCAGACCCTGGATCTTAGGGTGGGGCTGGGGAGCCCCTTGGTGGGGGTCACACCTTCTATCTGGAGCCTGGGAGGCTCCTGGAGGAGGGCTTTGGTGGTTGCCGCTGCCAACTGACTTAATTAATGGAAGTAGCAGCTGCGTGGAGGCCGAACTGAACAGAGATCTGGCTCTATCTGGATCTATCATTCCTTCCAGAGGGTTCTGATTCTCCTGAAAAAGTTTGAGATCCATTGGTTTAGAGGTCAAGGAATAGGTATGTGGGAGTCAGAGGGATGTTGGAGATGAATGTTTTAGAGGAGATAGTTCTTCCACATGATAAAAGTCCAGGGTATGCAGGGGAGGCAGCTACTGTGTCGGGGTAAGCAAGGTCATTCTGGCAGCACTTAAAGCCTGTGGATAAGTAATGATCTAATTAGATGTCATGAGCTGTAACATAGACTAATGGCCTGTGTGAGCTGCCTCCATCTGCCTTACCAGCCTCATCTGGAACTGCTTCCCTCTGGCTGTGTCTGTCCTAGTCCTGGCCTCTTTCAGCCCCTAAAATGAGCTTTGTTCCTTACCACCTTCACATATGATGTTGCCATTGCCCAGAATGCTCATGCCTGCCTGGTCCTCTATTTCCTCTTCATCTTTCAGTTCTCTGCTTAAAGATCACTTCCTCCAGGGAAATCTTACCCCCAAATCCAGCCTAGGTCAGAACTCCCTGTGGTGCATTCTCACAGCTCCTGTACCTTTCCTTTGAAGCATAGATATTGTGATGAAATAATCAGGGAATGATTTAATGTTTGTTTTGGTTCTACTGCTATGTCCCTACACCATGCCTGGTATGTAGTAGGGACTCAAATCAACAGTGTTCATGGGGCCTGGCGCAGTGTATCATGCCTGTCTCTGGGAGGCAGAGGCAGTCGGATTGCTTAAGGTCAGGAGTTCGAAACCAGCCTGAGCAAGAGTGAGACCCTGTCTCTACTAAAAATAGAAACAAATTAATTGGTCAACTAAGACTATATAGAAAAAATTAGCCGGGCATGGTGGCGCATGCCTCTAGTCCCAGCTACTCAGGAGGCTGAGGCAGAAGGATCTCTTGAGTCCAGGAGTTTGAGGTTGCTGTGAGCTAGGCTGACACCAGCCATGGCACTCTAGCCCGGGCAACAGACTGAGACTCTGTCTCTAAAATAAAATTAAAAAAAATAAAAATAAAATAAAATAAAAAGAGTGTTCATGGAATGAATAAAGGAGCCTTAAGAGAAAAATCAGAGAAAGGTTGGACTACAGCAGTGGGAGTGGGCGATGCAGGTGAGAAATGTCCCTGGTGTGTTGCTAACTCCCTCTAGCCCAGCCTGAGGCTTGGGCTAAGCCTCAGGGAGTCCCTGCTGAACGCCACAGGAGCAGTACTAGGATGCAGGCCCCAGGACTCTGGCTCACAGCAGCATGACTTTCTGGGCTTCCCAAGGCCTCGGCTTCTGTATTAGAATATAAGTTCAAGACACCACAGAGATGGCGTGTGGCTTCTATTTGGCAAGGCCTGCAGTTGCAGTTCCACTGATCCCAGGAATGGACTGCTTGAGCAATGGTAAGGAGCAATGGAAATGAACACAACCCGGTCACACTGTGGTCATGTGTGTCAGCCGCAACAGGGAAGAGCCTGCCCTGCCCAGGTCTCGTGAGCATCTCGTCTACAGGGAAGTTAGTTATTATTTCCCCTGTAAATGACCAAGTTTACTTAGTGGCTTTACCAAGGTGTACCCTTGAATTTGGACTGACCAAATCAAGTTTTGATGTTTACCTTGAATCACAGGCACAGCAAAGTCATTCAGTAAACATTTATCAATAGCCAGTGTGGCAAGTGCTTTTTGAGTCCTCATGCACAGCTCATAGAACCATGAATGAGCACACTATACACTCTAAATGCTCCAGAGAACACGTACACACTCATGCCTATTAAAAGGTTTATTTTCTTCTTTATGCTCAGAAACAAAGCAACAGCCTTGCCCCCCCAAGGGTCTTATCGAATGGGAGGCAGAGAGAGTAACAGGAGGGGGTGTTGGTGTGAGGTTGAATGTGGTAGTTCTTTCTCCCCCTTTCCCTACTACCACTTCTCTTTTCAGTGTCCCCTCCAAAAAATTTAGGGATGAACACAGCTTGCCACCCGCTGGGGGGCTGGAGAAGCAGAGCTGTAGTCAAAAAATTAATGCCCACTTTCAGCAAGAGACCGGTCCAGTGCGTATGTTGGGATGGGGGAGAGGGAGCGAAGGGGTTGGTTGAGGAAGCTGCCGGATGGAGGGGAGGGGAAGAGAGGCTGGGACACCTCCCCTCAGTGACAGTGGGGATCTTGGTCCTGCCCCTACCTCTCCCAGTACCATCCACTCCCTTCTTCCAGCCCCCCTTCCTAGCAGAATTGATCATCGTAGTCGTCATCCTTCATCCCCTTCAGCCGAAGCCGGGCAAAGTCCTCAAACACAATGTCGTCGTCTGTGGCATAGCTTGGTGGTGGAAAGGAGGGGGGTGAGGTGGGGGCTTCTGACCCTTTTTTCAGCCTCCCACTCCCTGCCTCCCCACCACCAGGGACAGAGGTGTTTGCAAGAAAGGATAAACAAGGGCAGCAACAGGCAGCCTCACAAGGCTGAGGCATCTCGGTGGTGATGCTTCAACCACCCTTCCCCCCAGAGAAGAAAACAGGAGGTATGAGGGCTGATTTGAATGTTGTGGGAATCTTTGTCCAAAGAGGTCAAAGCAGGGGAATGAGTTTCTTACTTGGTATCAAATTCAATGAGGTTGGTATCCACGGGGACATCTGTTTCTGGAGCGGCTGAGGGGAAGAGAGAGGCTGGGTGGGTAGGTGCTGGAAAGACCAGTTTTTCTCCTCTTGCCCTGCTTCAGACCCTCTTCTCAGGGCCCTGGGGTGGGTGGCATGCTCACCTGTCTGGGGTCTGGGGAGGGTGATGTGGTCATGGGGCTTGGGGTGCATAAGAACGAAAGGCAGCTCCACCGAGACATCCCTGGGGAGAGGGAGAGGCGGCATGAAGAAGACGATGACACCAGGCCAGAGAGAACCAACTGTGACCCCAACCCGGGCTCCTCCATGGAACTCACCCGCCTCGAGACACCACCAGCTTCACCTTGACCCTGTAGGACACCAGGATTCCCAGCACTTCCTTGTTGGCACCCTCCTTCACACTGCAATTGGGGGTGGGAGGAGTTGGACCAGGGCCCACTGCCTTGTCACCTAGCCCACCTGGGGCTCCCATCAGGATTCTGAACGGAACTATACTGGCCTGCAGGGCTCCAGCAGCGTGGGCTGTGCGGTCACCATGGTAAAGTACGCCACAGCGTTCGCATGCTCAGAGCCCTCCTGTGGCCTTGTCTCTACCAGTGAAAGCTGACCTCCTCCTCTTACAGCCTTGCACTGTCTTGCTCTCCCTTAGACCCTGACCTCACCTCCCACGCCTCTCCTTGTACACAGTTCAACCTCACCACACTGGCCTCCAGGCCTGCTGCGTGTGGTTGTGCAGTGAGAACCCTGCACAAAGGCACCGCTGGAGGTGAAATCCAGCTCTTTGTGAAGCTGCAGAGCTCCGGGGCTGCTGCCTGAGGGCACAATGGCACTACTTCCCTCTGGGTCCTTACTCAAAATTCACCTCTGTATTACGCCATCCCTAGCTACCCTACATACCATGCTCCCACCCCGCACTTTATACCTCCCTTCTCTGCCTTGCTTTTCTCCTTCATACTTGTCACTAAACATGCTGTATATCTGACCACTGATCAGATCTGTCTGTCCTCCCTTTCCCAGGATGTAAGAGTTCTTTTCATCTCTTCTGTTCACTGATCTATCCCTGACACCTAGGACAGAGCCTGGCACACAGGCAGCACTGAATGAATGTCTGTCCCCAGGCCTGCAGGGAACCCCCTCCCGCGCCCCCTCACATGGTACTGGAAGCCAGGTTGGTGTCCTCGTGCTTGAGCTTCCCGTCCAGGGCAAGACCACGCTTCTCCCGGTTGTCACTGAGCAGTGGGGTTATGGTGTACACCTTACAGAACGTGGAACTGGGAGATACCTGGTCACTGGCGGATAGGAATAAAAGAATAAGACTTAGGCCAGGCATGGTGGCTCACGCCTATAATCCTAGCACTCTGGGAGGCTGAGGCAGGCAGATTGCTCAAGGTCAGGAGTTTGAAACCAGCCTGAGCAAGCGCTAGACCCCGTCTCTACCATAAATGGAAAGAAATTAATTGGCCAACTCAAAATATATAGAAAAAATTAGCTGGGCATGGTGGCACATGCCTGTGGTCCCAGCTACTCGGAAAGCTGAAGCAGAAGGATTGCTTGAGCCCAGGAGTCTGAGGTTGCTGTGAGCTAGGCTGACGCCATGGTACTCTAGCTCAGGCAACAGAGTGAGACTCTGTCTCAAAAAAAAGACTTAGAGGGGCCAGGCTGGGTAAGGGGGCAGCATCTCCCTCCCTCACTAGTCCTTTTCTCCTTGGGCAAAGGTCACGGGAGTAGGTTTTGGCTAAACCTGCTCAGGAAAATAAACAGCGCAGAGCTACCTGGCTGTGGAGGGAACGTCCTTTTAAGTGCAGATGGTTCGGGAAGAATTCTACCCTCCACCTCGCTTCTCCTGTCCTACTCTTCTCCCCTAAGATTGGGACCCAAGTCTGTTCTGATACTCACTCTTGTTCGATCTGAGCCACGGGACACTTGTACTGGGCGGTGCTGAAGAGGCAGATGTCAGCGTACTGTCTCACTGTGGGGCGGGGTGAGGTCAAGCAGCTCTGGATGGAGCGCAGACTAGCACCAGGCCACAGCTCCAGACCACATGGCATGGGCCCCAGGCCCAGCTCCCCAACCCCCACCCCTCTGACACATGGCCCTCTCCAAAGCAGTAAACATGGGGGTCCCACATATCTTTCTGGAACAACCTAAATTCTTTGAGCCCTGGTGGGTCTCCTGCACTGGGATGTGGCCTGGGCTGAGATCACACCAGAAGCCACTTGTGCAGCAACTCCCTCCCCCACGACCCCCTTCCAACCCCCACCTCCTACCAGAGACTTTGATCTTCTTGACGGTCTTGGTGGAGTTGTTGGTGACGTGGACATTGACACTGAGGGGCTCCCCATGGTAATACAGCTTTTGAGGGGAGGGGGTCATGTGAGTTGGATCTGTTTTTTCACTGGTCCCATTATTAGTGTGTCCCCCAACACACACTGTTCTGCCCTTCCCTCTAAACCCAAGCCCATAGGAACTCTCCACACCCAGCCAAGGCAACCTCCTTTGAAAACACCATCTTTACATGTGGCTTCACCCCTCTCCCCAGGGTCTGGCCTGTATTGTGGCACCCGTGTCACCCTCTCACACTCCACCTCCTTGTCCAGGGAAGCCTCAAGGTGCAGGGACCGGTCAGACATGAGGAAGTGGCGCGTGGTTTCAGCTGAAGGCTGGGGGCCAGGTTTCTCTGGGGCAAACTGCACCTTTCGGATCACCAGTCGCACAGAGTTCCTGGGGCAGGGGTGAGGGGGAGGAGGGGTGAGTTCCCAGACCTCCAAATCTCTGCTTCCACCTCCCACAGGGGCCTGGGGCTTCTGGAAGTGGGTGAGGAATTGTTACACCGTAGAGGAGGTTGCTTCCCTCACCTTTTGTGACTTTTCTCTTCTAGTGATTTGGCACAGAAGGCTCGAATCTCAAAATCTACACCACAGGCCTTGGGAGGGGAAGAAAAGGCCATGTGTCATCCACAGTCCCTGCCACTACTAACACTCCCCTTCCTTCCTCCCCTCTTCCCTTGTCTTGGGCACAGACTCTTGCCCCATTATGGTCTGAGGAGTGTGAGGACTGAGTTTTCTTCCTCTGCCTTCCCAAAGCCCAGCCCCTGGCAGAGGCTTGATCATGGCAATGCAAGGGAAGCCCCCATACCCAGGTACATGCAGGTCAACAGATGAGGTAGTGTCACATGTGTACAGTGGCCATACCATACATACCCCACTGCCAGGGGGGACAAGGCCCTACCCTCAGCCCCAACCTGGCTTCTCGACAGTTCACCCTATGGCTCAGCTGTGCTCCCAGGCTCCTACCAGGCCCTGTTCTGCTAGTACCTTCCCTGTGTCCTCTGGTCCTGGCTGCAGTGTGACGGAGCAGGGCAGATTCTGGGGTATCTGTGGCAGAGAAAAGGGGAGACTTCAGTGCCTCCACAAAGCCCCCAGATCTTCCTCCCAATCTCAAGAGGCTGAAGATAGGACCCCTGAGGATGAGAAAGGAAGATGGAAGGGGCCCCAGGGAGGAGGATCTAGGGTCCCTGCCTCGCTGTTTCTTCCAGATATGCTCTTAACAGGTACCTCACCCACCCCTCCAAACACAGCCCCCCGACCCCTTGCCCTGCAGAGGGCAGGGGGCATACTCACTGTGAAAAAAAAGGGGTGGGCATGCTGACCCAGCTTCCTCAGCAGCCGGTCCTGCAGGCGTGTGGGGGGCCGGGGCGGATTGGGCATTGGGGGGAAGGCCTGGTAGGTGGCGATGAACAGGTCTTTGCGGAAGGACAGGCCCAGCACATCCAGGTCTTCACGGCCATAGCGGAAGGCGCAGGTGAGGGTCACAAACACTAGCAAAGGAGGGCAAGGTGGGGTGGTCAGGAGCCCCCCTTCCCCAATCCCCTCACCACCTGGCAGCCACTGCTCCTCCCTCAGCAGCACAAGATTTGCCCGAATACTATTCCTGGCTCCCGCCTCAGCCCTCCGTCTCTCTGGGGCACCCTCCAGTGCCAGCCCATTCCACTTCTCTACCTCCTACCTGCCCTCGGGGCCAGTACCTTTGCGGTCCTTCAAGTAGTCAGGGTCCACAAGCACCACACCATCTAGGAAGGGACACACAGGTTCATCTCCTGAAAGGGGCTCTCCCCCATTCCCGGGCCCAGGAAACTCTCCCCCTCTTAGAGGATGAACTTTTTGGGAAAACTTACCTACAGGATCCACTTTGTCCAGGTGATCTACAAAGTCCCGTTTGCCCAAGTACACGGTGAGCTGAGGATGTCAAGGGGTCACAGGGAAGATTCGGGGGGGGGGGATGGTGACAAAGCATCAGAGCCCTCAAGAGGGGCCACCCTGCCCGGGGATCCCAGGCTGGGCTACTAGAAAAGAAGTTCTCCAGTCTTCCTCCCAGTAGTGTTGGGAAGTGAGGGTGGTGGGCTTTCCCAGAATACCTGACCTTTAGGCTTTTAGCTGCTCCCTAATCTTTTCACACCTCTGCCCACAACAGTCATGGGTGTGTGTGTGTGTGTGTGAGAGAGAGACAGAGAGAGAGAGAGAGAGAGAGTTTGTGTTGAGGGTCCTCAGGGAGGACTCAGCCCAACCAGCCAGTTAGAGAGCAGCTGTCAGCCTCACTAGGTCCCTTAAGGGGCTCTGGGATAAACAGGCCATGGCCTGGGGGTTGTTCACTTTCCCCAGCGCCAGACACCTTGGGTTAGCTCCTAAGGGAGCTACAGGCACAGGGCTGGCTTCTGGCCTACTCCCCTTTGGTCTTGCTTAGGGACATGGGCCTGCCCCAACCCAACCCTGTGGCTGCCTCAGGCAGAGCAGCCACTGCGGCAAGGGGCTTCAGGAGGGAAGGAAGTCAGCTCTTAGCTGTCACAGGAAGTGGGGAGCTAGGGCCTGGGGATTGTCTACGGGCAGGCTGGGCTTTGTTAGGGCCCAGGGAAGGTCAAACGGACAAGCACCATGGGAGACTTACCTTGCAGTTAGGGCTGGACTTCTTGAAGACCCTAACAAAACAGAAAGGGAAACCCCACTGCCTTCCTCAGACTCAGCAGGGACCCCACACCAAGACCTTATCCCTCCCCTGTCTGAGAAGCAGAGCTTACCCAGGGTTCCTGCCTAGAGGGTTTGGGGTTTTGCCCAGCTCTACCCCATCCCACTTCTTCCCAGACCGTCCTTAATATTTCCAACACGGCAGCTAGGGCAAATGCTCCTCTCTTGTCCTTGGTCCACCCTCTCTAGTCCCCCTCCCTCCACAGTAATGGCCGGGGGTTGCCCCAGGAACCACGCCGTCTCTTCCCAGAGGACCTCCCCAAGAGGGGACCTGAATGGGCAGGTTGCAGCAGTGTCTGGGTTAGACCTAACCATCTTTCCATCTGCTCTGTAGCTCCAACGACAGCTGGAGTACATGGAAGAGCAATGGCCCTGGCCTTTGCCCCTAAAATGGTTTCTACCATAGGCACTACCCAAGTTTGACCCTACTTTATTATCCTCCAACTGTCCCCATCTGTGACCTCAGCAGCTTAAAGCCTACTCATCTTTCAAGGCCCAGCCTTTAGAAAGCAGACTCAGCCCAGACCCGGTTCACTCCTTAGTTGGGGTTTTTGTCACACCCTGTTTATGGTTTATTTGTGGTGTGATAGCATGCAAGGGCAGTTAGCTGTGTGTCTCTGTCTCTCTACTTAGACTGGTCGCCTCAGAGGCTTTATTCATTTAGGTACCCCCAGCACAGTGCCAGCCATGTGATGAAGATGACAGTGCCAGCTAGCTAACATTATTGGGTGACTACTCTGTGCCCAGCACTGTTCCAAGTGTTTCAAGTGTGTTATTTCATTTAATACTCTAATGACCCAATGATACAGGCCCTAATATCCCTATTTTTACAGGTGAGCAAACTGAGGCACAGAGAGGTCAAGTATTTTGTCCAAGGTCACAGAGAATATAAATGGTGGAACTCACATTTAAACAAAGGCAATCTGGGTCTGAGTCTGTGCTCTTTTCTTTTTTTTGAGACAGAGTCTTGCTTTGTTGCCCAGGCTAGAGTGAGTGCCGTGGCGTCAGCCTAGCTCACAGCAACCTCAAACTCCTGGGCTCAAGCAATCCTCCTGCCTCAGCCTCCCAAGTAGCTGGGACTACAGGCATGTGCCACCATGCCCAGCTAATTTTTTCTATATATATTAGTTGGCCAATTAATTTCTTTCTATTTATAGTAGAGATGGGGTCTTGCTCTTGCTCAGGCTGGTTTCGAACTCCTGACCTCAAGCAATCCGCCCACCTCAGCCCCCCAGAGTGCTAGGATTACAGGCGTGAGCCACCACACCCGGCCTGAGTCCATGCTCTTAATCACCAAACTATTACACTATTGGTCTCTGTAGTTGGCATCAATTGTTTGTTGAATTGAAGGAGATTCACTTTCCAGTTGCTGAAATAATCTAAGTCTAGACTCCACCTGTTGCTGGGAGGGTAGGGAACTATCCGAGGACCCCAGTGCTCTAGCTGATTGTGGGCCTGTTCTCTGAAGTACCAATCCACTCTGTCTCAGCAGTGATCCCTGGAAAGGGTCCCCATATAGTAGAAACAGATATCCTGCCAACTAACTGGCCTATGCCTTCTGCAACTCCACCACTTCAGCTTCTGCTACAACTTCACTTCTCCCTTCTTCCCAGAAGGCCAAGTTGTCCAAAGGTCAGAAGGCAAAGGGTACAGAGGGCCCCAGGTATCCCCAACCAATAAAGGAGAGTAAACACTGATATGGTGGCAGCTAGAATAAACACCCTACCTTTAGTCCCAACTTGGGGGCTGATTGCTATGGCATCATCCAGGCTCTCCCTCCCCTTTGCTTCTGGTTTTCTCTTTGTCCCAGTGTCTCCTCCTATTAGGAGCCCTGGCAGAGTGCTGTGACAGCCACAATCAGTTGGCCAACTGGAGTGTGGCTCTGGAGCAATTGCCCTGGAGCAGCTGCAGGGCACCTGCCCTTTGGATCCTAACCCAGCCACCTCCTGCCAGGCTAGGGAGGAGCAGTGTGCATGTACTGAGAGTGACCAAGGAGGCAGACTGTGGGGATGACCAGGAAGGTGCCCAGTAAGAGGGGTCAGTTGAAGCAGATGTCCCTTCACACTTCCTGCTATTCTCTCCACTTCCTGTGGCCTAGAATTTGATGGGGGTGAGGGGAATTGTGCCAAGTCAGCAGTCCCCCTTTGGTCCATCTGTCCCCCTCCCTGAACTACATAACGGAAATCAGGGGCCTCCCTCAAGTCAGTGACTTCCCCTTTCTCTGGGTTGTTTAACCCCTAATCCAGGACACCAATCCTCCCTCCGATCATCTCTGATTCTTGTCTACTTGATGCTTAGAAACTTGGGTTCTCATACTCTATGAGTTAGAAGTAGTGGAATTGATGTCATGTTTTGCAGAACAAGTGACAGCTCAGGAGCAGGCCCCCATTCCTGATCCCCTCTGGGTTGAGGCATAAAGCCCCAACCTTTTCCTCTATTGCTCCTGCTCCCCTGGGACTCAGGCATTCACCCCCCCTGCCCCTTTGGGGGTGTTGAGTCACAACAGGAAGTGGATTTTGCTAGAGACCAAAAAAAGAGAACTCGGGGTGTCAGTGGAAGGAAGGAGCCTCGATTGCACAGAAAACATCCGGGGAGTGGATGTGGGCCCAGGGCAGATACTGCTTTCCCCCACCCCGGGGCATAAGGTTCAATTTCGTGGAGGGTTGTCACCCACTTTGCTTCCCCAAGATGAAGCTGTTGCTCCTAGCAACCCAAGGGAATGCAGAAGTTTGAAAGAGGAGCCACCCGGCCCTCGGGACAGGTGTGGGCAGCCCCACTGCCTGTAGGGTATTGGACAAGAGGCTTTCCATTGGCTCAGCACGAGTCTAGAGGGGATCCCCCTCCTGGCATCCAGCCACCCATACACGACCCCTTGGGGCCAGCCACCTGCTCCTCCTTCCTCTGTCCCTGCATCGCAGCCTGCACGGGAGAACCAAGTAGTCCGGCCCCCAGATCTCTGCGAGAACCCCGACGCCGGCTTTCTGATCCCCTTCAGGCCTTGCTTTCTGCAGGGGCCCGGGCTTGCGTCCCCCCCATTATCCTCGAGGACCTACTCATGCGGCCCCGAATGGCTGCCCCCTAGGGACCCAGGCGTCCGGCCCCCGGATTCTCTCTCTCCCGTGTCCCTGTCTGGGGACCATCCCAGCACCCGCCCCGAGCCGCCGCCCATGCCCCGCTGCGTGGCCCCACCTCCCTTACCTGGTCCCGGGTTTCTCCCCCATGGTGCGCGCGCCCGCCGCCCGCTCGGCTCGCGGCTCGCTTTGCAGCCTTCTCGCCCGCTGCCAGGTCCCTGCTCCTCCCCGCACCACTGCGCACGCGCACCCTCCGCTCTTTCTCCTCTTCCCCCTCCGCTCCCGGCCCCCTCCTCGGTCCTGGGGAACCGCGGCCAGATGCGTCAGCCGGCTCGCGCGCGCCGCGGCGCTGCCGCCCTCTCCTCGCAGACACGCGCGGCGGCTGGCTCCGCCCCCACCCTCGCGCGCCGGCCCTCCCCGGCCGGCCTCCCGGCGCGCCGTCCCTGCTCCTGCTCTTCACGCCCATCTCCCGCCCCTCCTCGACCCCTTAGAAGCTGATTGGGCCCCCTTGAACGGAGGCGCCTGCCTTCCAGGAGATTGAAGCCCTCCCGGCGGCCAGAAACCTGCGGGGGTCTCCTCCCCTTTGTTTGCCTTCTCGGTGGCTGTGTGGGCAAAGGGGGCGGTGGAGGGGGGTGGGATGAGCTCAGACACGGTCGCGGGGAGCAGGATGAGGGGATGCACACGTGGGGGAGCGGTTCCAGTTGCGTGATGTTTGCTCCAGCGCGCGCTGCTCCTCTGCTCACCTCAGAGCATGCAGCCGTCTTCGGCCCGCCCTCCCGCCTCTTTCTTGTGGAGTCTCGGCTCCCCCTGGTGTCTGCCTTTGATCGCCCTTTTCTAATTTCTCTGACTCTGCATCGCCTTCACCCACCCATCCCAGCTAACATCCGCCCACTCACCCACCCATCCATCCATCCATCCATCTGTCCATCCATCCATGCATGCCTATTTTGTGCTAGTCACTATGCCAAGCAGTGGGGACACACATGAATTACCATGGCCCCTGCTTTCCTTGTATAGTCGAAGAGACTCTTAAACAGGTATTATGATCCCAGGAATGCTATAATAGAGGTATGACTCAGAAGACAAAGCCATTAACAGCGCTTGGCGAGGGTGGGGGTGGAGGGAGTGCAGGCTGTCCAGAGAAGGGAACATTTGAGGACACTCTTTTTGAAGGATAGACAGGAGTCGAGAAAGGGCATTCGAAAGAGAAAGAAAGGCAAGGCACAGCCCGTTCTGAAGTGTTGGTGGGGTTAGACGGCAGGAGAGATAAGACTGGAACAGGTTGTGGAGGATTTTTGTAGAGCTGGTGAAGGAATGAGACTGAGGAGGGCCCTGCAAAAGGACACGTGGAACCAGTCATGGTTTTTTAAGCAGAGGGGTGGCATGATGAGATTTCTCTTTTTGGAAGATAATTCTGGGCAATGTGGAGGGTGGAGGGAGTGGGGCAAGACTGCTATAAACTAGCCAAGGGAAAATGATGAATGCTAGAGTGGAAGGGATGGGAGGGGTCAGACTGAGGACTCATTTCTGGGGTAAAATTGGCTGGACTTGGGCAAGTCTAGCCAATGGATGACTGATATTATTGGACTTATGAAGCTAAGGTATTTCTCCTTCCATCTCTTTTCCCATGCTCTCCCTATCTTCCCCAAATGGAATAACTTCACACCTCTCCCTCCACTTTTCCATGCAACAAAAAATAGTGTACTCAAGTAGTTCCTAAGATCATCTTTAGGTTCAAACATAGGCCTTGCTTATCAACTGCCACCTCCCCACCCCTCAGTTTTTATTTTTATTTATTTTTATTTTTTTATTTATATATATTTTTGAGATAGAGTCTTGCTTTTGTTGCCCAGGCTAGAGTGAGTGCCATGGAGTCAGCCTAGCTCACAGCAACCTCAAACTCCTGGGCTCAAGCAATCCTACTGCCTTAGCCCCCCCGAGTAGCTAGGACTACAGGCATGTGCCACCATGCCCAGCTAATTTTTTCTGTATATATTAGTTGGCCAATTAATTTCTTTCTATTTATAGTAGAGACGGGGTCTCGCTCTTGCTCAGGCTGATTTCCAACACCTGACCTCGAGCAATCTGCCCGCCTCAGCCTCTCAGAGTGCTAGGATTATAGGCATGAGCCACTGGGCCCGGCCCCCACCCCTCAGTTTTATCACCACCTTCTAAGCTCACTCTTCAGTTTTTTTCAAGCTTTAGATCATTTCTTTTAGACTCATGAATCACTTTTACCAAATTTGACCTTCATCAAAGGGTCATGACAAAAAGGTAATGAGATCTGTATCTAAAGTCTGATGAGACTGAAAGGTAGTGGTCTGCACGACATGAAATCTACTGTATTAAAAGATACTACTAGCCGGGCGCGGTGGCTCACGCCTGTAATCCTAGCTCTCTGGGAGGCTGAGGCGGGCGGATTGCTCGACGTCAGGAGTTCGAAACCAGCCTGAGCAAGAGCGAGACCCCCGTCTCTATTATAAATACAAAGAAATTAATTGGCCAACTAATATATATAGAAAAAATTAGCCGGGCATGGTGGCGCATGCCTGTAGTCCCAGCTACTTGGGGAGGCTGAGGCAGGAGGATCGCTTGAGCCCGGGAGTTTGAGGTTGCTGTGAGCTAGGCTGACGCCATGGCACTCACTCTAGCCTGGGCAACAAAGCGAGACTCTGTCTCAAAAAAAAAAAAAAAAGATACTACTAAAAGGCTGGGCAGAGGGGCTTATACCTGTATCCTAGCACTCTTGGAGGCAGAGGTGGGAGGATCACTTGAGTGCAGGAGTTCAAGGGCAGCCTGAGCAAGAGCAAGACCCCTTCTCTGCAAAAATAGAAAAATTAGCTGGGCGTGGTGGTGGGCGCCTGTAGTCCTAGCTATTCGGGAGGCTGAGGCAGGTGGATCACTAGAGTCCAGGAGTTTGAGGTCGCAGAGAGCTATGATGACAACATTGCACTCTAGTAAAACAAACAAACAAACAAACAAACAAACAGACAGACAAAAACCCTGACATTAAAAAAACAACAAATATTCAGTACCAGAGGACATAAAAACAAAACAAAACAATAAATAACAAATAAAAAGACAAAATGATAGAAACCCCTTGCAACACGTATAACAGACAAGAATAATTTCCAATATCTACAAAGAGTTCCTACAAATTAATAAAACGAAGACCAACAACCAAATATAACAATGGGTAAAGGACATGAAAATATAATTAATAAAGAACGAATATAAATGTATACTAAACACATGAAAATTATTCCATTTTACTAATGATCAGGGAAAACAAGTTAAAATAATGACACATTTTTCATCATTCAGATTGCCAAAATTTAAAAAGATAAAGTTAGAATTGGTGTATAAGGTGGTGTATAAGGTATAGGGCACTATCCTATGTAGTTGACAGAGGTGTCAATCAACGAAACCTTTCTAGGGGTATTTTGCCAGTTCCTACCAAAATTTAAAACAGGCATTCACTTTTATCCAGTATACATTAGTTTATGTACTCAATAAATATTTACTGGGCACCTTTTATGTACCAGGCCATTATTCTAGGTGAAGGGAATAAAATAGTGAAGGAGAAAATAGCTCTCTCATGGAGTTTGTGTTTTAGACAGAAGAGATAATCAATGAATACAAATGTAAATAAGTTTCTGATAATGATATGAGTTATAAAAAATAATCAGGGTAATGTGATAGAGGCTGATGGGGGTTGGAGTGGGGGCTACTTCAAAAGAAGCCCTCTCTATGGATGGTGAGATGGTGCCAGTTACATAGAATCAAAGGACAATTTCTCCAGCAGACTCGGCAGAATGTGCAAAGGTCCTGAAGTGGGAATGGGTGTCGCTGGAGGATAGAAAGAAGGCTAGTTTGGCTCAAGAATAGGGTAGAGAGGGCACGCGGTACTCGTGGCATGTGCTGAGGTCAGGAAAATGGGTATGGGTCGGATCACGTGGATTCTAGTAGGCCTAAGTGAAGAGATGGGATTTCATTCTCATCACATTTGG